TTTTTTGCAGCCGCCTTGTTTTGCTAAATGCATGCTGGTTTTGCTGTTTATTCGCTTTCTTGGCTTTGTTTTAATTTTAATTTTTAATATAATTGGAAATGCTTTTGAATGCCACTGACATAATGTAATTAAATAGCTATTATCGCCTTAAATGCCACAAAATGCGGCAGCGGAAGCCACAAATCCAATATCAAATTGTTGCAATGCTCTGGATCATCTTTCAGCTACAACCGCAAAGATATACGATCTATGCTGAAATGTTCATAATCATTTTACAGCCCATCTTTTTTGCATTGTAACCATATTGAGCTCAAAATATTTCCTTATACAAATTTATTGAAATTATTTAAAAGATTTTTTTTTTTTTATTTTACAAAAATTAACTTTGCTCACATTAAGTGCGCAAATCTTGAATGTATCTTTTTAGTTAGAGCTCCTGGAAAAATAAGCTCTTTAAAACTAGAAAAGGTTTAAGCAAAATATTTCCTGAAGGAAGCGTGCTACAAGCTCCATTCCCATTTTTGTATTTCCCTAGCCGTCTCTCTCTTATATCCTAACTAAGTTTTATTAATATGCATTTAGCTAAGCTTTATATGAAGTTTGACATAACTTTTATCGTACCTACCGTTCCTTATACAAGAGCAGGTTGTCTGTCAAGCAAACGTTGCCACGGACTGCAGGTTTTTAATTAAAGTATCATAATTATTATATTGTTATAGCTGCAAGCACTATCGTGGCAATATTAATTTGTGGTCAAAGATATATAGCCTTGACGGCACTTTGATGCGTTTTCGTAAATATTACCTTAAGTGTTTGAACCTTTTGGGTAACGGGCTGTTCCCACGATTTATTTGCGCCAAAGCATTCAATTAGCTACATTTCAAGTGAATTTAAATAAACATTTTATGCCTTACGCCAGGGCCTACAATTAATTTTTCCCTTGTTCATGCTAAGGAGGGTGACTTTTGAGAAAACCCAAGCCAATCTCCCTGCTCATGTCAGGTGAACAGCACAAATAAACAGACTGTTATTATTTAGGTGCTCGGTTGCGTAGCCTGCTGAAGCCCATCACTCATACCACATGTTGGCCAAGATGCTGCTGCGCTGTCAGACTTATAAGCACAAGCACACTCACACAAACACACACACACACACACACACACACTCGCAAGTATCATTTAGAGCAAATTAGCTGAAATAATTGTATGCTAACTGCTTCCTACTCGTATTTCTACAGAGAGCCAAACAATTAGCGCTGTTTGTACTTACGAGCAACGGGAATGTGGCTAAAATTAAAGACAAGTCCTTCCCTTTCATAAAGCTATAATTATAACAACAATAACGCAATAGAAGAGTTAAATTCGAAACATTTACAGCTTTGCAGAGAGAATTCCTTTTCACTAAAAAAACAATGTTTCGTCTTCAGTTCGTGAAGCAGATTTTTTACATCTATAAACGAAGCTTTTGGTTTGTCATTTTTTTAGTTAAATTTAATTTTTATTGTTATTTAAAATTATTTCAACATATTTTTATTTTACGAAAATAGCTAAGTTCTTTAATTTTTAGTTCCGAAACTACTTAAAAATATCATAAAAATATTTTGAGTCAAACCAAATTATTTTTTAAAAAATGATTAATTTCTTGTCAAACTTAGGATGTTTTGCACTTAAGTAAGGCAGATTTAGGTTCGGTTCATGGTGCATAAAAACTGGAATTTAGGGTTCAAAGCCATATATTAAAATAAAAAAAGTTTTAAATTGAAGCATATTAAAAACGGTACGTTTAGGAAATATACAATTGTTTCTCATCAAACTAATCGGGTTAAAGGTTCAGTTCATGCTATTTAAAGAAAGGGATATGGTTCTGCTCGGCTTCAAATTTTCAGCATTGTCATGGTACATCTAACTTATAAATAAGGGATCTAGCTTGTCCTGATCGCCAGCATATTTCTATACATACCTTGTGGGAATACCAAAAACTCTCACTCCTCTTCCCTATATATTTATATATATATATTATATATATATATATATATTATATATATATATATATATATATATATATATATATATATATATATATATATATGTATATATATCTTTCTAACTGTGTACAGTCGAAGGGTGTTCATTTGCAGGTGTGTAGCCAACAGTTGCAGGTACTAAAGCCTAAACGATAAGAGAAAAGGTAGCTGCCCAATGGATGGCTCGAGGGAACTCTGGTAGTGGATAACGATTTATGTAAAGTTGCCAATTTAATTTCCTGCGGCCCCCACCAAAAAATGCAGCACGCATTTTGGCAGCAAACGGCAAAATTGTACGTATATTTCTCTCAAGCTTAAATGATGGCACTAAAAACATACGTACGAACTGCTAACTGGCCAGGACAGGAGTAGAGTGGAGTGAAGATAGGCTAAGGGGTGGCAGAAGCTGGTTAGAGAGCACTCGAAATGAACTAACGTAAATGAAATTTCAGTGGAAAATTTACGAACGCATTAAATTTGCAAACCAAATAGCAGGCGCAAAGTGCAAACCTTTCGGGCACAGGAAGTCAAAGTTCGAACAACAACAACAACGACAATAACAGGACAATGTCTTTCTGGCAAGAGAACGACCAAGGCAAAAGCAAAGTTAATGGCAGCACGTAGCCAACACCCGACACGGACACGGACACCGACTTGGACATGGACACAGACACGGACACGGACACGGCGGATACGGACAACGACTCCAAAATGTACGACAACATTCGCCTGGTCTACAGTTTGTGCTCCTGCCGCTTGCCCAACTCCATGCACTGGGCCAGAACTTTCGCTAATACACACTTTTCTATTTGATGCCGCTTTTTACATTTTTAATGAAATTATTTTCAACAATTTATAATTGCCACGGGCAGTCAACTGGCTTCGGCATAGCTGCCCTTCGCTGCGTTTAGTTAAATGCACCCCGGGGAGAGTTTTGTGCCCAACAAATTTCTATGAATTATACGATATGTATTTCATGTGTCTGGCTAACATTTACATGCCGATCCCCTAACCACACAATTTTACCAAATTTGCTCAAGACTTTTCCTCCTGCTGGCCCCTTCTCTGGCTTCCGCCGCCGCGCGCCTCCCACGGTGCTTGTTGTGCTCAGCAATGGGATTTAAGTAAGGCGTAATTTCTAACTACAAATTAAACACAGGAGTGCGTTTTTATTGGATAAAGAATTTTGGTTACAAGCAACTATCTCTTAATTCTCTAAATTTCGAATACCTGTAGTTTTTTCTAATTAATGTTATAGATGTTTATAATGTTTACTAGCGGTTATATCCCGGACTTCCCCGTGTTAGGTGTTAAATAAATTCTCTTAAAGATCTTTGAAAATGAGTTTGGAACCGATCGGACGGTAAGCCAATTTTCCACAATTGCGGGCGAATTTCCCAAAACTGACACTCGTATTCATTAAGTTCTCATATGGCTTTGAAAGTAAGTTTGAAGCATATTTTGACCAAGGATAATGTTGTGAGTGTGGCGGCGTGTGTGTGCTAGCGTATGCATGCATGCATGTATGCATTTATGAATATATGCATGCATGCATGGCTGTTTTCTAATACCAAACGTAGACCAAGCTTATTTGTCGCTGTGCTGCAAATTTGAATAAAACGAATTTTTACCAAGTACTCTACTCCTCGATTCTCAAGAATTCAAGTAGGCTCTGGAGTTTTTCATGCTTAGCTAGTAGTTTTTTTTGGTACTGTTTGTTTTTTGTTTTTTGTTTAGGTGTTTTTGTGTGTGTTTTTTTAGTGTTCTTTTTTAGTGTTTTTTTTTGTATGTATGTAAGCACATTAATATGTATATAAGTACGTTGGTACATACATATATATTTATGTATGCATGTAAGTAGATATTAATTCAATTGATGTACATGTGTATGTATGTATGTATGTATGTATGTATGTATGTATGTATGTATGTATGTATGTATGTATGTATGTATTTTTGTATGTATGTATTTTTGAATGTATGTATGTATGCGTTTTCCACCGAGGAACCTTGGATGCTGCGAAAAGTGTGAAACTCGTCTCAAATGCTTTTTCGTATAGATCCTTGGAAATAAATTCGAACCTGAAACGTTACCCACCAAATCTTTGACTCCCATTTCCACCAAGAAGGAATGCATTTTCCAAGAAGAGCGAAACAGCCAGATCAGATCAATTTTGACTAAGATCTTTGAAAATGTTTTTGAGGACAATCGGATGGTAAATAAAAAATTTTCATACAAACGTTTTTCGCGATTTTTCCACACGCGCGGGTAGAATTTCCTGAAGCCCCGTCTTAACGTGCACCTTCAACACATAAGGTAATTACATTGAAAAGATCAGCTTCCTTTCCTTTCGGTATGGACTGTGCTTTGATAAACAATCAGCCAATCAGGACAAACAGTTTTATATAAAGAGATGAATTACTTTATTTATATTTACATATTTATGTTTTATTTATACATATTTATTTTACCTTATATATAGTATATAGCTTATAAGGTTGGAAATGCATTCCATTATAAGCGGGCGGCACATATCCAATGAGTTACAGGGGATACAGGAACCACTGGAAGTCTATAAGTTTTACCAAGCTTAACACATTTTATAAAAGTTCTTTGAAATGCGGAGAGCTTTCATTTAGGCCTAGAGAAATAATACTACTTCTAATATATTTAGCAATCCGATATGCAATAATTATATTTTATATATATGAAAATAATATCTTTAAGCCATTTCAAGCTATAAAGTATGCAATCGACACGCACGCGTGGTTCGACACAGCTTCGATAGCGATATCGAAGTCGAATACAGACAAAATGAGCCTGTCCTTATCACAAATGTATCGTCTGCATCTATTGGTGTAATCGGTAGTGCCGCGCGCATTATCGATAAATCGTTTCATGCGAAGCTTCAAAAAGGAAATAAATAAAGTAAACGCCCAGAATGCTTTCTGTGTAGGCCATAAACAAACATCATTTTCATTTCGGGATTTGTAGCGCCGATTTTCAGTTGACTTTTACAGCTCCAAAAAGTTATTTCGTTTACAAATTAAACATATATTTTAATTGTGAACGTACAAATGTAAAAAACCGTGCACCATTTTCCAGATAACAAATTTGAATACGTTCTGCCTGCAGATTCCACAGCTATCATTTGTCGAAAGCTCTCCAGCACCAGCTGGATATACAGAAGCAAGAAAATAGGAATCCTAAAGATAATAAGTACTGCGTGCAAAGCGAGCGTTCGCAAAATGAAGAACTTTGCCGATCCGAAGTCCATTTTTAAAAGCAGCGCTGTGGCTGCCGCCAGCGACGAACAGGTGGATGCCAGTGCAGATTTGGAAACTACAGGAGCTCCAGAATCATGCCAGGAACCAGCTGAAGCAGAAGCTCTAGCGCCAGCTACAACTGCGGCTCCAACACGAGCTCCATCTCCAATCCCAACTTCAACTCCAGCTTCATCTCCAGCTGCAGCTGCAACTGCGGCTCCTACTCCAGCACCAACTCCAATACCAACTCCAGTTTCAACTCCAGCTTCATCGCCAGCTCCAGCTATAGCTGTGGCCACTGAAATTGAGATTGAAGAAGAGGAAGCCACTGCCAAGCCTGAGGAGTGCCAGACATCCATCGATCCGATGCTAGATGATGATGCAATTGCCAAGCGCAACGATAAATTGCTGAAGCATCCATTGCAAAACGTCTGGACTCTCTGGTATTTGGAGAACGATCGCACCAAGTCCTGGGAGGATATGCAAAACGAGATCACGAGCTTTGACACTGTCGAGGACTTCTGGAGTCTATACAATCACATCAAGCCGCCATCCGAGATCAAGCTGGGCAGCGATTATTCGCTATTCAAGAAGGACATACGCCCCATGTGGGAGGATGCTGCCAATAACAATGGCGGTCGCTGGGTGATCACGCTCAATAAGATATTGAAAGACGATCTGGACAAGTTGTGGCTTGATGTGGTAAGCGAAACATTCAGACAATTCCGAGCTTCACACAATAGCCATTATCCATTTAACCAGCTTCTATGTTTGATTGGCGAGGTTTTTGATCATTTGGACCAGATTTGTGGCGCTGTTGTCAACATACGCGGCAAGAGCAACAAGATATCCATTTGGACATCCAATGGCAACAACCAGGAGGCCATATTGGAGATTGGCCACAAACTGCGCGATGCTCTCCGTCTGGGTCCCCAGAATGTGCTGCAATATCAACTGCATAAGGACACAATGGTCAAGCAGGGCTCCAATGTTAAGTCTACATACACTCTATAAAAAATCGATGATCCAAGCACCCCACAAAATTACGAACCAGTTTAGCCAGTTTTGCGTTTGCCATATATATATATATATATATGTATGTAGATCTTTCTTTTTGTTTGTTTGTAAGCGACCTTTTGAGTGTAGTATTGTGTAAGCATAAGTAGACATAGGCTCGGAAGTAAGGTATCTGGACTCGCGAACGTATCTGTGTGGGAATATCGCACTTGGTAACGATACTTTTATCTCCGGCAAATGTACCAAATCATTCAATTGTTGTATCGTAACTGTCATATCCTTTTTCCAAAATTTCTATTTTAAAGGATTTTCTTTTTTAATTTTCTCACAGTATCAAAATTGAAAGGTACTTTTAAAATTGTTCAATGTTAAAATAATCCAAAGTTAAGTTTTGTGTCAGTGTGTGTTTGTTATTTTTTTTGATAACAAAAAATAGTTTTGATAAGGTTACCCTTACCCAAGTCTTGTAACACGTAGGCAAGGTAGGATTCAAATACACAAGTTTGTAAACGCACTTTTTTGAAAATCTATAAAAAATGTATCTTATATCCATTAATAAATGATAAACCAACTGAATATGAAATATAGAGTTTTGTTATGTTTTGTGGTTAGGTTTTAGCTATAATGTATTTTTAGCGTATATATTAAATACTTATATACATATGAAATATTTTACTTATATTTTCCTTCATTTCTTCACATGCCATAACAAATTAATATATAAAATATGTGTAAGGAAAATAAAAACAAACATTTATTTATTTATGGTCGACAAAAACGAGTGTCTACCTAATTATTCAATACATCAAATTATTAAATTAGAATACACAATTTTCTAATACTTCGCCTCCCCGACCGATGGAGGTGTTTTATTTTCCTGTACTGCCAGCTATGCCCCTTTTCACAAATAAATTGTCAGAAACGCTATTAGAGCCTACAGCTAAGGGCTGTAGTGGGCTGTTAGTGGAGCAAATAGTGTTCTTAAAAAGAAAGAAGGTTTTAATGAAGTTAAGAAATTTATACTAGATGTATTGAGTGTTAAGTAGATAGGATAAAGAGATAGTGATGAGAAATTTATAGCCTGTCTGGCAAGCCTGCTCATAGCTGGGAATGGTCAGTGAGTTCCTTAAGGTATTTTGAAAGCAACGATTTTATTAGGGGTAGAGAAAGTTCGGTGGTCAAAACGTGATATGTTGCAAGCTATTGTAATTTTTTCATAGCACGCGAAAACAATTGTGCATTGAGCGGAAAAATTGTATATTTATATGTAAATAAGCATTTATTATTTAATATATATGTATATATATTTAAAGATTATTTGTTGAATTTTTTCTAGTTGGCAACATTACCTTTTGCCACTTCCTTTACCACTTAGCAGGCGGTGGGAGTGCAGCATTGCCAGCCCTCGAAAAAAAGTGTGGCAGTGTTAACATTGCGGTAAAGATAACGAACTCGTGTTTGCTGTCCACTGCCACTTATTGTTTTTGTTGTTTTGTTGTTGCTGTTGTTGTTGTTGACAACGGCTGTGAAAGTGCTGTTACGGCTGCTGCTGCGACCCTTGTCAAAGTGAGAGACGCGTCGCATTATTGAGCTAAATCAGTTGAACGGGCACACAAAAATAAACTGCACAAATGCTGGGCAAACATAGCTAAAAACAAGAAATACCGATTTTTAAATACTCTATTTTTATTTCCGCAGGATTCGTTCTTTGCGAGGCATATCCTAGTAGTCCGTTTTGATACGGTCGAGTTATCTTGGAAGACAGATAACTGTACTATGCTAAGACTTGATTTCTCTATCTATTCTTTTCATAGAATTGTTACCAACCGTCTGACATGGTCTATGCTTAGTGTTTGTCTATCGTATATTATTATATATTTGTTCGATATAAATTATCCAACGATATCATTTATACAAAGAGTTTATACGAATTCAAATTGGGAAGCTTTATCATTCAAAGCCTAACAGCTTTTTAGGGGTTCATCAAGTGTAGAGTATGCAAACATATTACGCACATGCCATTTGGCGTTTGCCATTTGCCATCATTTGGTTCACATCCATGTCACACTCGGAGCTCAGCTAGAATATATAATGTTTGGGCATATTTCTGGCATTTCTCGTAGCTCATTAAATATAAATGGCACACAATCAGATCAATCAAACGGGCTAATAATGTTGCCATACATGTCGCTCCTTGTTTATGTCAGCCGATGATAATCATTTATTGGATGCCTTTTTAATTGATACCAGCTACTGACTGACTAGGGACTGACAGATATCGCAATAGCAGTTGCGCACTTTCCAATTTAGTTGTCCTGTGGATTTCCCTGTCATCTTTATTTATGGCAAAAGTTCAGACCTATCTATGTTCGTGACAACATGTATTATTTATTCTAATATTAAAGTAAATTGGTAAAAAATGCAAAAAAAAATAATATTTGATAGTTTCACAGTTTCAGTTTCAGCCCTATTGGTGTACAGCTTTGATATTGCCACAAAACTATCAATAAAATTATCGAAACTAAATATGATCTATTCCTTGGTTAAAATGACAGTATCTAATGATAATTAACAACATTTTATGCTCGAAAATATTAAATCAAATAATAATTATACTTTAAAGTTGAATTAACGAAATGCCTTAAGAGTAGCGTGGATAAAACTTGGTAATATCGAAGCCCTAGATAGAGGTTATTAGTGGTGGCTTTGAAGTTTAAAACGTTCATCAAACATTTAGTATGTAAATATGTTACAACTGTATTCGAAGATTAAAGTTTTGCTTAAGTCCATGCTTTGTAACTTAACAGTTTGACTAAAACACAAAAGATCAGTTACAACAAACTAGAAATATGGTATATATCCTGTACTAATGACAACGAATGCATGAACATAATTATAATTTGAGTCATATGTATTACAAACAAATGACGTCTGGTGCATACTTTTAGCAGCACTGTAACTGTCCCAAAGAAACTGATGTTAACAAACAAAAAAATATGCAACAGAAAATAAAATTTTTTGTTTTGTTTTAATGCTCACAATTTGCACAAAGAAGCTTTTGAAAATGGCGCGCTGAAATGCAGCCACTTAGTTCATGAATATGCATATTGTGTGCTTACTGTGTACAACAAGAACATCACAACAACAACAACATCATCGCACACTCACAAACAGAAATGGGCGTGCGTATGTGTGTGTGTGTGTGTGTGTGTACTATTAGTAACTGTCACTCGTTACATGTGTGCACATTCAGAATTGTCCCCCATTTACTGTCCGTCGTCTCGCTGCCCATGTGGGCCCTCCTCGTCATATACTGGGCGTGTATTTTTGCCACTGCTTACTATTAAATTAGCATATGAAAGAGATGCAAGCACATTCGCACACACTTCAGACACACACACACACAGACGTGCACACATACATACATATGCATGCGTGTGGGTCTGGACATTCGGGCAAAACTTGCAAAATGTGCGGATTTTATTTTTTTCCGCACTTACATATGCACATATCAAAGCATGTTGCCACGCCCACCGATGTAATGGTTGGAACATTTTTGAATCTCTTGCATTTGAACCAATTTTAAACATAATATAGGCCTATCGAACAACAGCGCATTCCACTATATTGTGCCCAACCACTTACGAGCCATGGTTGAAACAATTTTAAGCTAATTGTGCAACGTTTATAAAACAATTTACAACTGTATTTGAATCTATTTGTGAACTATTTTGATTCTCATCGAAATTTGGGCCGTTTCTGTAGGATTTTCTATGAACTATTTTAAACAGCTTTTGAACTAGTTTTAAGTTACGTATGTTTATTGTACCTAGCTAAAAAGCCCAAGCTTTAAGCGAAAATATAGTTATCAGGGCTGCATAAACAACAAACATTTGAAGTGGTTCGGCTCACGGTTCGAACCAACTCCCTGCTTTTAAGTTTAGTTCAAGAACCTTGCTTCCCACAACCATGAGCATATGTTTTGGTCTGGTTCAAACCTGGATTTATCTTACATCTTTAATGAAACCCTTTTTTTTCTTTATTATTGCCCTTTGTACTGCAAGTATTGGAAGCCGCAAATACTTTAGTGCTGGCTCTTCCTTTAAATTTAATATTTTGAATTAAGACTTTTCGAAAAGTATGATTTTACCATTTTAATATTTGAGGAACTTTGAGTGAGCCGTTATTGAAATAGTTTTAAGCGGGGCATGGAACGGAACCAAAGCTCAACTTAATATCCACTAGTTAATATGAACTAAAGATAAAAACGAGCTCAAAAATGAGATAAAAATTCACCAAGAGTACAAAAAATGGTTAAAAACTTTTTAATCAGGCACACGAAAATGAAGTTCATCTGCATGAAACGAGTTCATGCGTTGCAAATTATTTAAGCACATCTTGAATATCGAAGTTCCAAAGGCATAAATCAATTATGGCCAAGTGAAAGTGCAAACAAAGATAAGTGTGAGTAACAAGTGCAAAAGCCAAGTGCAAACAGAGATAAGTGTGAGTAATTAGAAGTTAGTGAAACAAATCTTATAATTATGTAAGTACAAAGTTTTGGGCTGAAGTTGCAGCTGTGGCCGGTGGCTGGTGACGCCTTAGGAGATGCAGTGGCAGCTTTCGCGCCAGCACTGGCCAATCCAGTGCTCAAGCTTCTTGCAGTACTGATGACACTTGGGATAGTGCGGATGATAGCGTGACTGCTCCTGGCACAGGGCTCGATCCATGGCAATTGCCCGCGACTTGATGGAAACAATGCCCAGCGGCTTCATTGTGGTTGTGGCATCCGACACAAACTTTTCCGGCAGCTCGGACTCATCCGACACATCGTCGTCAAAGTTATCCGCATCCAATTCCGCATTCGGCACCGGCTCCGGTGCCGCACTGGCCTCGCGCCGCTGCTGCAAACGCCACGCCTGGCCACCCTTTGGCCAGACGCAGAGGCAAAGGCCCAGGCACAGCATCAGTTTTGGCAATAGTTTCATTTTGGCAGAGCACCAATGTATTTGCACGTCTTTGACGTTGGGTATTTGGAACGCGACTGCCTCGGGGCATAAGCTAAGCTAAAATTCGCATCATTATCAACGTCTCAATGCGTAGTTTCACATTTCTAATGTTGCGGCTTATCAGCCGCTTCAAGGTTAGGGGTCAGCGCTAATCATGAATGCTCGACTTTAGCTGAGAGCTGGCTTCAATTTAGGTCTTTAAAGCGGAGCATATGTGAATCGTCATTATGATTGAATGCAAGATATAGCTGAATTCATAATTACTTGTGTGTATGGGTTGTATATGAGTATATAGGTCACTCCACGCATGACGTCACAGCTGACAATGCAAGGCTAGATGCTGCTGGGCTTGCCTGGCCTGGATATAAATGTAGCCCGCTTTGTAAGCCCTTTTTGGCCGTCATATTTCATAGCCTTATCGCTGCTGAGCTGCTGCTTTTTTCCACTCTATCTGTCCTCCACGGTCACTTTATTAAAAAAAAACAAAACACACACACATTTTAAAGTTTGCCGAATTGTACGACAGTCTAATTTGTATACCCTTTTAGGTGCCTGCGTCCAGTATGTTCCAAGCTTCTTTAGCCTAAGCTATCCGTAGGTTATTTAAATTTAAACATTTAAAGAAAATAGTTTGAAGAGGATAACGATGGGTTATTTATGGTATGGCTGTAGTTTTAATTAATTTATAATTTTATAAGAATCAACCAAATTGGGTCATGAGAATCATAAATAATTTATTATGTAAATTGTCTAGCGGCCATAAAAGAAACTTTGCCAAATTAGTCTGCAAGGGTATCAAATCTTTGGTGCTATGAAGAGCACTTTTCTATATACATACAAACAAGTTACACACACACATACATACATACATACTTATATATATGTATATGTGTGTATATGTGTACGTAAACGCATCAATTATGTTTACACATAAGCAAAACCAACAACAACAACAAGAACAACAAGAGCAGCAGCAACTAGAAGAAGAAAGCCCATCAAAAATCGTTGAGCTGGTAATTTATGCGGAAATTTGTATTTTTATGCGCGCGAATGCTCAGAGGCCTGCCTGTACAGTAAGTAAAATTGATGGGCGACGGACAGGCAGTTAAAGAAGCATCAAATTGTTCAGCCAAAGGCTGGCAAAATCATTGTGGGCTAATTTTAGGCATACACACACACACACACACACACACACACACACACACACACACACACACACACACACACACACACACACACACACACAGAGAGAGAGAGAGAGAGAGAGAGAGAGAGAGAGAGAGAGAGAGAGAGAGAGAGAGAGAGAGAGAGAGAGAGAGAGAGAGAGAGAGAGAGAGAGAGAGAGTCCCAGACACATACAGAGAAAACGCATAAAAGTCCATTTGCTTTAAAATGCAAAAACAATAACAATAATCATAATAATAATAATAATATACAATAACAATAACAGCAACGGAACAGCACTCAAATGTATGTACGACTTTGTACATTACGTCCACAAAGAGCAGCTGCCAAAATAACTTTTAGAATGTTTGCCAATTGCCCCGCAACGCCCACCCGCTACCCACCCCTCCTTTCCCTTAAATAACTGCTTTTTGGAAGTTACATTCGCCCCGTTCGCCATCAGGGCAGGCAGCGCTGCCTTCTTGGGGAAGTCAATATATTATGCAACATAAAGTGGCGGCGATTTTCTTGCCTCATCATCAATCGAGCACCTCCATTAGTGGCCGATTTGAAACTGCGCTTCCCATTATTTATGGGCCGCCTAGGGCAGTTACGATTCTTCACATTTCACGTCATAAAAATCCAGTTGTAAACAACATTTTTATTTGATGAAACACCCCCCACACCCCCTTCATATTGCATATTAATGTGGCAAATATCACAGTCGCAGAATTACATGCGTATGAAGTTTGTGCATATGGAAAAGTATGTAGAAGGGTTTGTGTATGGAATGTTTTTTCCCAGATGCGTGTTTTTGCTTGAAGGTATGTTATGTGCTGTGGCATATTGGTATTATATATTATTACAAGCTGGTACAAACCGCCTTTGCTCTACACATTATATTATGGCTAACAGTTTTGTATACATTTGCCAAAGCAAAATTTGTGAAAACGAGTCGGACGAAAAAAACAAAAAGTTTTCAAGCCAATGTTCCCATCAATATTTGGCAGCTATATTCAAACAAATTTATTGTAATTCTATAATTAATAAAAAAAATATTGATGAAATTCCTAAGCATCAAAGGTATTTTTTTAATTCTAGAAAATATTACCTCAGTAAGTTATTTTTTAGAAATATCAGTTTCTTAATATGGAAAATGGGTCTATAAAATTGGGCGATAAACCATTTAGTTAACAATAAAGAAAAGTCTTCCACTAGTCTTCCACATATTCACATATCGCAATTCCTATGCTGTAGGTTCAACATTGTTCAGTCATCTTATATGTCTATATATTTTCTATAAGTTATTCCCTTAACTGCACTCTACAATGAATAGCTTAGCACGAAAAGTTATATAATAGGATAGACTCAGAGGGATAGACTCAGATAAGATGCACTAAGAGAAATGCCAAATCAGCTGTACTTCTAATATAAAATATACTATACAGAATTACATTTTGTTTTATTCTTTGAAGGAACTTCAGAGCTTTTCTTTAATATGACTTAAGTCTTGTGTTCAAGATTAAATTGATCAATTGCTATTGATTTTGTATTTTGTCCACTTCCAATTGCTTGGCAAAAGCGCAAGCTATTCAGAAGAGTGCTTGGGGCGTCAAAAACAAATTGATTTGGTAAACCACTAAATCGCGCCGGGCTAGAGACAAAGTGTAATCTATATCTTTAAATTTGAGAAAAAAAGACGCTGATACAAGAGACTGTCAGCTAAGCGATTTAATTCCGTTAACGTTAATGAAGCGGAATAATCGTTCAAAATAAACAAAGCGCAACAACAAACAAATAAGAATGTTGCAGTCGGGTGCTACCGACTGCACAATGCCCTAGACTCGAACTTAGAAGAGGTCATCAATTTGGTGGCTCTATGTGGCAAGACGGACGGGCTCGCTTTCAATTTGTGAACTCAGTATGGGCACAAAGTGTGGATTGCGATTTGTGTGTGATTTGAAATTTAATATGAATACGATATTAATATTGATAAGAAAGCAATCTAATGTGTGCAGCTTATGATAAACGCAAATGCCATTTGTCTCTAAGATCATAAAAACCCAGAAGTACCAATGTGTACATGGAATATGTATATATATAGTATATGTTTATGAGTTTACTTTTTTAGATTGATGATAACTTCAATTTGATAACATTTTCATAAGCTGTTGTGGATACAGAATGAAGCATACTTCAAGGTAGATGTCAAAATACCCTAGAAAATAAAATATCATAAATATTGTAATTAAATTATTTTATTGATTTTGCTTTAAGCTTTAACTTGAAATGATTGTGTCTAAAATTTAAAGCTTAAAGTTGAAAAAATATGTGAAATACCCTAGAAATAAATTACTTTATAGATTATGCTTTAAACATAAGCCTCAAAGTAGTAGGAAAATAAAGTATCATATGGATTGTGTTACATTAATTTATAAACAATTCGAATATATAAAATACTGAAACACTTTATATCAAGCCATACTCTTATGCATATTAACTTTTACAACACTGCTTGTCAAACGCAGAGGTAAATTTTCATCAAATAAAAAATAAAAATTGTGTACCATTAAATTTATAATTTTCGTGAAAAATTAATAAGAAAAAAACAATATTGAGCCAAACAACATTGGGCATGGATGTTAGTGCATCCACGCCCTCTCAACCGAGAGAGCTGCGACCAGAATTCGCTAAAATGAAGAGAATTGCTGGCGCTACACCTGTGGAAATTCGTGAAATGATTTCCCTAAATACTGTAAGTGCTTCAAATACTGCAATTAAGTGCAGTAGTAGCAATTTTGCAGCAACGACATGCACATTGACGTCGACAAACTCCATCTACGCGTCTACCTACACTGTCACAACTTCAAGTGGAGGAGTGTGCACCATCCCAAATATTAACTACAAAAGTGTAGTTGCAGGCGCATCAGAAAATAATATCTATGAACTAGGAAAGTCATCAGTGAAATCACTCAGCTGGATGACGACCAAAATAAAACGTAAGCTGCCTTCAAGCTTTCCAAAAGCAAATGGTAAAAAAGGGAGGTTAATTGCATCTCAGATATCGATGGACAGACGTCTAAAGGAGATCCCAATAAACTCAAAAAACCAATTTGCAATACTGGATAATGAAGAAAACGATGATCCTACATAGGAGGAAATAGCCCATGCCGAGGCACTGGCAGAAGAGATGGAAGTAGAGCTGAATGCGGAAAAAGAAGCCAGAGTACCCAGATCCAGGAAGCCACCCCCTATCTTCATTGAAAATGTAAACAATGTGACCCAGATGGAGGCAGAGCTTGATACAGTCATTGGGTCAGATAGTTATACCCTCCACGTTGGAACACAAGGAAAAGTAAGAGTTCACGTTGAAAACTCGAATTCATATCGAAGCCTAGTGCAGTTTCTCAAAGAAAATAATGCACATCACTTTACATACCAACTGAAGGAAGACAAGGCCTTCAGGCTTATCGTCCGCAATTTGGCTAGCACCACCCCTGAAGATAGCATTAAAGAGGAGTTTATGCGATATGGACACAATGTCCTTCGTATCCACAATCCTCGTCCTCGTAAGGCCCAACAACAGGAAAACGGTGAAGCTATTGAGGAACTAATACAAAATAATTTCTTTTTCATTGATTTGGCTCGCGAGCCTAATAATAAGGATGCGCTGAAAATCAAGCAAATAGGGCGACAAAGAGTCTTGGTTGAAATACCAAAGAAAAATTTGAATGCCATCCTGTGCCACAGATGCCAAGGATTTGGACATACAAAAAACTACTGTATGAGGCCTTATACCTGTGGAAAGTGTGCTCAAAATCATCCAACAGCTCAATGCAAAGAAACCTTAGT